GACGGAGCCCTGGAACAGGCTGCCCAGGGAGGTTGTGGAGTCTCCTTCTCTGGAGATATTCAAGACCCGCCTGGACAAGGTCCTCTACAGCCTACTGTAGGTGACCCTGCTTTGGCAGGGGGGTTGGACTAGATGACCCACAGAGGTCCCTTCCTACCTGACCATTCTGTGATTCTGTGATTAATCTCCTGGTACGTGGTGTCCTCTTCACACCACATCAGGAAATGTGTTGTCCTTGCATTGAAGACATGAATGACAGCTAAAGAAATTTAGTGACTCGTCAGAGTTGAACACAGGGCAATTTATTGGTAAAGCAAGAACTGAATAAAGGCCTACTAGGCTAATGTCCCGGCTTCAGGGGTGTCTATTTATCGCTTAACAACAGGTACTGATTCTTTAAGGCCCATGGTGGCAGAAGACTGTGTGACTTAGGTGGCTTTAAGTTAGAGGTTCAGTGGTGAACCAAATCTGGCCATGGTTTGCAGCTGCCTGCACTGCACATTATCAAACTGTACCATGGTAGCCCAGATAACCTCTCAATACAGTCTTAGCTAGAAATACTACCACCTGCTTTCTAGTACATGCTTTCATTTTCTTTAATTATCCTGTGAAAGTGAGGAGAAAGGTGAAATAAGAGCACAAAGCTCTGTTTTTCGTGTCCTGCTGAGCTGTAAGACTCAGCCTTGTTTCCTACCCCATCCCCAACACCAAAAGCATCTCTTCATAACTTGAGAAGCTGATTTCTGTAGTGGTACAGTAGCTGTGTTTGTGTGTGTGGCAATGAAAAAGGGCTGCTGTTCTTGACAGCAGTAATGAGGCTGTGCAGTAAAAAATAGTTGGGGCTGGATTTGTCAATATTTCATGCAAGTCAGGTAGTTTGATCATTTTTCAGTATGCCTTGACTGATCCAAGATGTACCAGCTTCTTCGTGGAGTGGCTGTAGTACAGCCTAGCGTTTATCTAGGTTTAAAGAAGCATATGGTTCTTTGTTATTAATCACGGCTTCACCTCTTGCGGTCTAACAGAATGAAACTTTGGGAAGAAATATGGAAAAACATCATATGGGCAACTTTGTACTAAAGCAAGCTTGGGAGGGTGATATCACATCATTTCTGTGAACTGGTTTTATCTTGTAGATTGTTTTTTCTCCTGTCGCCCTTGATTCACCACATCTGGACCCTGGTCAATGGTCTGCGGATACATCTGGTGTTGATCACTCCTTATAGGCGTTCAGCTTGCATTTATATAATGTGTTTGTTCAGTGAGGAGTGACTAACTTTTGTCTTATTTGGACTTTAAAGCACGTCATCTAGAATTCAGTTCATAAAACTGTTACTTATTTTGTACCACAGTGTCCAGTAGCTTTACATGAGTTCAAAAAGCTTCTGTTTCAGATAACTATTGCCTTTAAGCTGCTGTATTAAGAGTTGCTACATAATGGATCTAATTTATCTGTGGGCAGGGTCATAGGCAGGGACTTCAGCAGTAGAAATACTAATAACTGCTTCAGGCTGTCCTGTAGACTTCAGTTGGACAAGTCCAAGGCATGCAGCTCTTGCAAGACTTCATGTGCATGACAGGCAAGCAAACTTAGGATCAGCTATCGTAGGCATTGGTGTTGTTGGTGTGAATACATTGTTTAATCTTTCAGGCCTTGTTATTGGAGCTTTCTTGCAAATGAGGATGCTGAATATCCCACTGATATGTGGGACCTGATTCTCACTAAAACAGTATCCCAATGCTGGAAGCTGAATGGGAAGGGAGAAATGTCGCAAGGACGTAATCTGGGAGAAGTGCTGCAAGATGTTTGTGAACACACGGAGTGCATCGTGGCACTGACTTATTTGCAAGGGCAGAGGAAGACAGGGTTTGTGGCTGCTGGTGGTGTTAGATGACAACCTATCCAACCCATATGTAAGGAGTATCGGGGTGGGCAATTTTCTTCTAATCTCATAAACATACTGAAGCTAAACTGAAGTTACTCAAGTCCCAGAACTTCCCCCAGACAATAATTACACAACATAGTTGATACGGATGTAGAGCTGATAGATCCCTGGATAAATTTTAATGAGCTTCTTTTTTACAACCAACTTCTAAACAAAAGTATTTTATTCATGTTAGAAAATAGACTAACATGCTTTGAGCTAACTTCTTAGCTCTTTCTGCTGTCATTGAAGAGGCCTGTAATCCATTTTGCTGACTATTGTTGCAAAGTAGGATTTTTGGTATCCCCCTCTTGCCTCACTGTGGTCTTTTCCCATGTCTTTTCCTCCGAGCAGGTTTGGTCAGCGGTGTAAGAGGGTGACCCATGCAAAGAGTCAATGCCTCTTCACGCTGGCGTACCCAAATCAAAAGGTGGAAATGTTAGTGAATGGATAGTCTGAGGCTCCCTTGCGTCAGTCGGGAATTGGAGTGAGTTGGAATTTCTGTTGAACTTGACATATTCTGAAATGCTGTTTCTGTGAACTTTGATACTTAAAACTGCAATTCTTTATTTGTGAGTGAATAATTATTCCCTAAAAGATATTTACTCAAGGTAAAAGCAAATGGAAATGCAAGCTGCTGCTGCTTCAAAATAGTTCTTGCAATTTTTTTTTTAGTTAAGGGGTTTAGAGGAGTAGGAAGGGGCATGGGTTTAGTTGGTGTTTTTTTCTTCCCACAGAGGAAAACAAAACATAAAAACCAAGAAGAAACGGGGGAGTTAAAACAAGTAAAACTTGATGAGACTAGAAAAACCCTTACTACTTTAGCTATGTGAAAAATGTATTTCATTAGACATCCATATTGCTATTTTCCAGACACTGTGTCAAAGGGAATCACTGATGGGTGATGCAGTGGAAAGAAATAATGTTTTCTCTTTCTCCTTCTCCCACCTCTTCCCCCAGGCTTCCTTTGCATCCATGTGTTACAGCGTTGTTCGTGTGTTTTCCAAATGGCGGTCTGCTTTGTGGTTCTAACATGCACCTTTCTTTTATTTTAGGTTCTGTCTTCATTTTGCTGACTCAAACCGCAGATTCCAAGGAAAGGAGGGGGAAGTGGAATAAAATACTCAAGTGCCGGAGGAAAAGCCAGACAAGCCAATGAAAATTGCTGCTGTTAACCTGTAGAATGCTCTCACACATAGTGGGGGGAAAAAAAAAATTGCTATTGATTCAAAGCTTATAAAATGACTTTTGCAGACTTCCCTCACTGAACTTCAAATTGGCTGAAACCCTTCAGCTAGGGTTGAATTAGGAGATGGACATATGACTCCTTGCTGGTGTCTTCCATCTTCCTCCTGCTCTGCAGGGTTTTTTGTTTGGGGTAGGAAATCTTGAACAAATCGTATGGCGTCAGCCAAACTCACAGTTGGTGGTTATGGATGACATAAGAACTTCACATTTATGTCTCTGCAATGACACCTGATTAAGGCAAAGGTTGAAAACTGCTCATCAGCTGCTTTATCAAAACTTGTAGTAATTGTTATGGTTATGCTTCCTCTGTCTTTTTAAGATTTGAACTGTGGGGTAATGGTCCCTGGAACGCATGAGCAGATAAGTCGTCTTTTTGGATTGGAAACGGAAATAATATGAGAATGCCCAGAAGAGGCTTAGGAATTCAAGCCAGGACTCGTTGGCTATTAGTGGGCCTTGCTTTACTGTTCAGTTTGGTCTTGCTCATGTATTTGCTTGAGTGTGCTCCACAAACGGATGGTAATGGATCTCTCCCTGGTGTCATAGGCGAAAACGTGGGTAAAGAATACTATCAAGCTCTCTTGCAGGAGCAAGAGGAGCATTATCAAAACCGAGCTACCAGTCTGAAGCGTCAGATTGCCCAGTTGAAGCAAGAGCTTCAGGAAATGAGTGATAAATTGAAATCCCTGCAGGAAAAGAAGACCCCCAAGGTCAATGGTGTGAACTACCAGGGTACCAAAGAACAAGCATCCAGTGATCTCCTAGAGTTTCTTCATTCCCAGATTGATAAGGCTGAGGTGAGCGTGGGGGCCAAGCTGCCTAGTGAATATGGTGTCATTCCTTTTGAAAGCTTTACGTCCGTGAAAGTATTCCAGTTGGAGATGGGGCTCACTCGGCATCCAGAAGAGAAACCTGTTAGAAAGGATAAGCGAGACGAATTGGTGGAAGTTATTGAGGCTGGCCTAGAAGTTATAAATAATCCAGATGAAGAAGATGGACAAGATGAAGATGGAGTAGGAGAGAGGCAGCTGTATAGTGAAAACGATTTCATAGAAGGTATGTTATTACATGTTTTCCAGCTGGTTAACAGAATGTCACAACATGTGTTTAATGGTGTTTGTATTTTTAGGGGTTTTACCTACTTGGATGTAGTCTGGAACAGTAATTACACAGTAAGAACCTTGATTTCTAATGATGAGAATATTACTGCTTCGTTATGTTGTGTTTTGCATAGGGAGCAAGAAATCCACTTCGGAAGAAAGGCTCACCACAAGAAGTGTACAGGGGAAGTTGTAACCGCTTAAAATACTGAGGCATTCATAACTGATTTTAGCTGAAGTCAGTGTGGCACAACTGCTTATGGTACTAAATAGCTGAGAGACTTCCAGGGAAACTGGTGGCAGTGGGAAGGAGAAATTGATTCATCTCTCTTGTTCCAGCATAGTTAAGCTATTCAGTATGAAGCTTCCAGGGTTGTGGTGTTTATTTTTCTTCACTCATCTCTCTGCCACTTTTAGTTTCTATTCAGGCTTTTGACTCTCATAGAGATGGCTTACTCTGGTTGGAGGGAGAGCATTGGTAGGTTAACACGTTCGGGTTGGGTCAGCTGGAGAACTTAGTGTCATGAATAGACCCTTCACGGTGTACTAGTTAAGGGGTTTGCTAAGCTGTGCAATCTTAAACTGTTCTCTTGTTCTCTATTCAGTTCTCTTTCAGTGCTTGTGAATTTAATTACAGAACACCTTACTATAAAAACAAAAATAGCAGTTATGCTTTCAACATTTAATGGCACCCTTGGAAGATGCGTTAGTGATAATTCCTGTAGAAGCTGGCTTTCAAGGCACAGTGTAATGCTGATGGAGATAAGTATTATCAAAAACTGCCCTAGTACCTGTTTTTTTGTATTTGCAGTATTAAATACAGTTCATGCTGCCATAAAAAAAACAAAAGTTGGACCGTGTTATAAGAGCATTACTGTAAAAGGGATTCTGGATCTCAACAGTACTGATGTCTATACTATTAAGCAAACACATGCTGGAGAAAGGTACCATTGGCCTTGAAATAATCAGTTCTTTCAGTCTAAGATGATGTAATTGATCTGTAGCGCAAGAAGTCTCTGCTTTTGACAGCTACTGTGTTTAAAGTTTAATGCGACTACTCTTCATTCCAGAAGGTGGGGCAGCTGTAGAACCCACTCAGCTGTCTCACACAGGCAGTGCAGTGTTAGGCCCTTAGTACAGTTTTCTCTTGAAACCATGTTATTTGGTCTGGAAGTAGTCATTCTTGCAGTGTTTTAATTCTTTTCTTTTTATATTAAGAGTGCAGCTGCTTTTCTGTTACTGTTTTAGATACTGCTTATAGTCTACTGGATTTTTTTTACCAGTACTGAAATACTTGGTTTTTCTTAGTAGGCTGCTTTTAATGACTGCAGCCCTCCAAAAAAGCAAGGAGATGTAGGACCTTAGAACTGTACTTATACCTCTGCCTATGTTCACACCATTATACTGATAATTGGTTTTGGAAGTTGAACTAGTTTCCTTTTGTTGTACAGCCAGTTTTTTCAAACATACATTACAGGAACTGTGGAAAAAATATGCATCACTGAAAAGGAAGTATTTTTAGGCTGTAGCTCATATGGGTGTGTAAGGCAAGTAGCCATAGTGATACGTATCAGTTTCTTGTTTCGGACAGAACTTGTGGGTTGTGTGGGTATTCTGTGCTTGTATGTGTGAGTTCTACTGGCTATTTTAGACACTGGGCCAGCAAAAAAAAGCTGCATCTCAATAGTAACACCTTTTTTATTGCTTTTTTTATTTCCTTCTATTGTTCCAAAACTTAGAGGTGAGAAATGGAACAGGCTGGCAGTGGTACCTGCAGGTCCCTTGCCCTGCAGCCCTGTGCTGGGCTGTGATGTGCTGCCTCGCCTGTCAGTCTGTGCATCCTCCCCTGACGGATAGGCAGTGGGGAAGCTGGGGTCTTCCCATCTAGAAAATGCTGCTCCCTTAAGCTGTCATGAACTAGGGGGGTTGAAGTCTGATAGCGGACTTGGTGCATCTGCTGAAGTCCCAGCAGTTACTGTAAATGTCTGAAGAGCACAACTGAGTTGTTGCTGGATTGGCGTTGCTCGTTTAGAGAAAAGGTTTGTTAAAGTCGTCTGGAGTTAAAACAAATGGTTTGTCACTGAAGTTCTGAATCCTCTTCAATTGCTAATGATTATTTCGTAATAAGCGATTTAGGACTAAGACTACAGTTCCATGCAGCTTGTAACAAAAGGCTGAGAAGCTTGGTGTGCAGATAACTTTGGGGCAGGCAAAAGAGAAAACTGATACTGCATTACTTGCTACACAATCATTGTATTTTCTGCTTGGTGTAGATAAACTGATTTTGCTTTTGATCTGACTTGCAGGAATTTTTTCTCAAAACTAGTGCGTGTCTATCTACAAAAACTTACTCACAAAACTGTGCCACAAGTATAAGCTAAACTAGGAACAGGCATGTTTATTCTGGAAGTGTTCTAGCTTCCTACCTCAATAGGCTAACTTTTTGTGTAGGTAAATGTTTGGTTTTGGGAATTATTTCACCTCTTTTTGTAGACTTGTGAGATACTAGACCAGACCTTGAGCTATGTTATCTTTCTGGGTATATACTTCAAGTTGTATTAGTAAACCCTTAGAGAATTTGGTGGCGGTTTAAATAAGTTTAGAATCTTTCATCTGACAGGCAGTTTTACCTAATGGTATCTCTTCATCATTACTGAATGTTTGAAGTTCTTCCCCAGCATTTACGTTGTCTTTGCCCACTCAGTGGAATATCACTGTCTTGATCTGTAAAAGCATCAACAATTTTTTTTCTTACAGTATTTTAGGATTTACCTATATTGGAGTCACTTGTGACAACAAAGGCTAATGACATGAATTCAAACTTCATCTTCCTTTTCTATTTTATAAATAAACATTTCCTAAATAAACTTTTTTGAAAAAGTGTGCTTAGTTACTCAATAATACATGGTAGTCTGAATCAACTGATTTTTATTACTCTAATCCCACATGGGCCACAATACTTCAAAGTATGTGCTGATGGATGGGGACTTCCTTGTTGCTGCTGTTTTGTGCACTGTGCCCTTGACTGAACTGTTCCTGCAGCTGTTTTGCTGTGCGCTCAGCCTCTGTGGTCTCTGCGTGAAGACATTCTGACTTCCGCCAGTGGTGCAAGGAAGCTGTCTCTGATAGGGAGCGACCTGTTCAAGTGTGATCCAAACTGATGTTCTTTTTTAGCATTGCAAAGCAAACTAATGACCAAATGTGTTTTGGAGTTATGAAACTTTCTGAAAGCTCCAAATTACTTTTCACAAGGCTCAACTGGCTTGGTCTACTGATGGAGAGAAAATCAGCAAGTTTCTCAGCTCTGCAGGGCTCCATCTGCTGCATGGTTACCTTATTTGCTTTGCTGCAACCCAGAATGAAACTTTGAGAATTCTAATACCAGCAGAACAAAAACCTGACCTTACAAAAAGTCTTGCTCTGCAGTTGCTGTTTGAGAAACGCTTTGAAGTTTTTTTTTCCTTAGTATTTCCATTAGATCTAAGTGCATGAGAAGTTGTACACTATTTTGCTTGGGTGAAGAGTATCCCTAGAGAGAACAGAAGTTGCAAGATGACATTTTTGCAAATGAGGGGGTCTAGAGCTACACACAATGAACCTAATTGCTGAACTGAGCATTCTGAGATAGTCCTGGAGTAAAAATAGAGCTCTTTAAGATCAGTCTTTGACAATACTGAAGAAACAGGTTAAATAAGACAGGATGAGTGTAATAGTATTACCTCTGTCCATCCCCTTTCTTCAGAAGCCTGTGACATTGTCTTGAATAGTGATGCAAAACTCAGGAGCCTTCATGGATGTCCGTACTTTAGTACTGGTTTATTTGGGTTACATTTATCAGTGTAGTGGGTTTATTTTATCAAGAAATTAAAGGCTTTTCCATTGAATAAACATTTAAAGTTAACCTTTGGAAACTGGAGGCATTAGCATATTTTCAGAAGCTAATTAGCAATTACTTAATCTCTAAGAGAGGTCTTCTTATTGAGTGTCTACTGGAATTGGGTAGACCGAAACCCCTGCTGTTTGGGTGCACTTCCTTTGCTTCTGTGTTTCCAGTTGAGACTGGGCAAAGCCCAGAAACTATCTTTAGGTCTGAATCCCAAGGGAAGATTCCCCCCCTTGAAGTATGTCTGTGGCATGTAAAAATTATTTATCCTCATGCTGCAAGCTCAGAGTCAAAACTGCTCCAGTGTCCTTGCCATCCACAGAACAGTGTGGGCTGTTTGTCATGCAGACACCCCTGTTAGTATATCCTGTGTAAGACCAGAGAGTGACCAGTGTCCTGGGACCTCCAACAGAGAATTTTAATACACACACAAAAAAAGAGGACATGTGTCTTCAGTTCCATAGACTAAACACTTTCTTGGTACCTTTCTTGGTAGTTGTAAAACAAGTACCAGTATTCAGTGCAATAGAAGAGCAGCTTTTTAGCTTTGATAGTAATTGATCCCCAATATTCTTAAGATTTAGTTTGTTTGGCGAGAAACAGAACTGCTGCAAAGGAAGTAAAGCTTCATGCACCAGGAATAACAGCTGTTAAATTATTTCTGCAGCTTTGAACCTCTGTACTTATAGAGCTCTACTTTGGCTGGCAGCCAGCATATGCTAGTTGGAAAGTGAGGTAGGTTTTATTACATGAGTCAGTCCCAACTGCTAAAAACCTGAATACACTAAGAAGTAAAACAGATGTGGGTTCTTTTTCTGGCTGTTCTCACTTCTGGCTTCTGTGTATAGAAGCTTCAATCCCATAAAAGTATTCAAATTAGTAGGTTACCTATGGAGGTTAGCTCATAGCAAGGAGAATAACTCGAGGGGCACATACTTACTATTTAAAGAAGTGTGATGCTGGTAGGATGTGGAGATTCAAAAGTTTGGAATCTTATGTTCCACCAACTGTATGTTGACAAGGCACTACTCAAATTTGGACTTGCATATTAAGGTCTTTATGATGTTAAAGTAGTTTTTGTGAAGTTACTTTATCCAGACATTATTATTCTGTACTGTTGCCTTCTGTTGTAGACTGACATCTGAGCTTATCCTTTGATTAAGGAGAAGATACTGGCAGCTGTGACATGCTTATTAAGAACTTCATTTACATTGTAAATGATATTTTCATCTTTAAACAGCTATTGGATACTAGAGAAAGGACTATAATGTAGCATACTGAAGGTTGATATATGCAGGAGTACTGGTACAAAGTATTTGCTGCGTATTGCGTGAGAGCATGGTGTGCAAACACCATGGTGCATCAGCTGTACCAATAACCAAGAAGCTGTTTTCAAGCTGCAGTATTGGAAAAGGGCTACACAGCACAAAGGGTTGGAGTGGAAAATGTCTTAAATCCCTCTCAGCCCTTTTTCTGCTTCTAACAGTCAGCTCTGTGGCCTCTCATTGTTTGAAACACCCTCTTTAGTACTTGCAATCAATACTGATTTGAAACTGTCATGCTTTTCCTGAGCGTTAAGATGTGGTGCATATTTTATGCAGCTCTGATCACAGAGGAACAGATGTGGATTTCTACCTTTTAAAGGAGTGCATTGCAAAACTTTGTTCGAAGGGTGAAAAACATTTCGGTTGAAAGGTTAGATTCGATCAGTAGAACTTCCAGTGTGATGGCACCAGCTTGTTCTGCTCAATCCCATCTCCCCCAGACCCTGCATGGTAGTCATCCGCAAGAAGGAGTGCATGGCAGAGCTGAATGTTGGAGAAGAATGGGGAGCTTGCTGTAAGAGGGAGGCTGGGCAGAGGCAGAAGGAGGGAACGTCAGTGAATAAAACTGGGTTTGGTTTGGGGATGGAGGCTGGACCAGAGGAACATGGAGGGAGTTGGGTAGATTTAGGGAAAGGACTCTTCGTAACAGAGCTTGGAGTGTAGATGAAAAAGTTGGGGTGGTGTACGCATTCCTTTTGTTTCTGGTATTGAATGAAAAGATAACGGGAGGAAGGGAAAGTGGAGGAATATTGGCCTGGGGATAGTGAGAGAAGCAAAGCTTTAAGATCAAGTCTTTCTAGCTCCCGAGACAGACAAACAAAACCAAGCTGCTGTAAGTTTGGGGGCTGCTCCCTTCACGCACCTTGACCGCCCTGGATTTCAGTTGCAAAAAAGACAGCAACAACAAAAAGGACAGTATGCATACCGAGCGCAAGGGACAACCCTTTCTGTCACCAGAACAGTTCACCTGTCTGGTGCCCTGCCACCTTCTTTCTGGGCAGGAGGCTGGGAGAGGGTTTCGGCTGCTCCGGGGCTGGCTTGCCGGAGAAGGGGCAGTTTGGGCCTGCCGAGGGAATGGACATGCACTGGTCGTGTGGTGTAAGGGCAGATGTGGTCACCATGCTTGTGGGTATGCAGCTGCTCATCGCTTTCTCAATGGTCTGCGTGCCCAGCACAACTGAAAGTTGCTTGGTGCAGTGTAGCTTCTTGTGTTTCTTCTCTGTAATATACCTTTGTCTTTTGGGGGGGAGAGGAGAGCTGAGATGAGGTGGACACAGGGCAGTTCTGTTGGAGGATTTTTCCTGTCGTCATTTCATACTCGCAGGTTAGTATAGCTACAGGAGTACCAGCACAGAGCTCAGTTCAAAGCCACAGCTGAGTCTTGGTCTTTTCCTTTGTGGTGTAAAATTAGAGAGGCCATTGGCCCAAGATGCTTCCTTGATGGTCCTTAAATGAAAGTGGTCAGCTAACCTAAATATTTGTTCTGAATGGGATAGAATTCCTTACCCATTAGGAGCAAAATATCTCTAAGCAATGCTGTTTATAGAGAACTGGTATTGTTTCCACAAAGTGTTATAGCTATGTAGAAAACTTCTGCCTGCATCCTTGGAGGACCATAGCTACAGTAAAACACCACTGTCCTTATTTATGGGATAGGAAGCACTGTAGCCAGTGGTCTACAGTGGAAATGGTTTTAAAGCATTCCAGCATTTATCGCATGGATTTTTTTTTTAGATATCAAATTTGGGATTTTACTGGCTTTGTCAAGCGAGTTATTGTGTCATTTGTTCTGCCCACAGCTTGTGTTGTGTTGGTTGCTGGCCAGATGATCTTGGCTTTTACTGTGGACTAGCTTGGGGGAAGATCCTTACTGAAGGGCTTAAGAACAGGCAAGATTAGATTTCAGCCATTCTTTTCCATAGCAAATAGCTGAATTTCCATTTTGCTGGGAAGACCCCACTCTGATTCTGCCTGAGAAGTTGATGTAGGACTGTAAGACCTGTGTAAGAAGCAGGGGAAGCTGGAGGTTGAGATGTGTTTTTTCAGATATGGTCTAAGAAGGTGGATGGGTGATTGGGATAACTGGTGGTTTGTGGATTTTTTTGTTTGTTTTTAGGAAAACCCCAGAAGCTTTCCCCCAGAAGCTTTGTTGTTCACTTCTTTATAGTTCTCGGGGAAAAACAGTGTTTCTGAAATAGCATTGCTGGGATCTTTGACTTTACAAATTACTTGTGTGACTTATTCTTCAGGTTACTATCGTACAGAAAGAGATAAGGGGACACAATATGAGCTGTTTTATAAGAAGATGGATGGCATGGAATACAGGCATGTCACCTTGTTCCGACCTTTTGGACCCCTCATGAAAGTGAAGAGTGAAACAGTCGATATTTCTAGATCAATCATTAACATTATTGTCCCTCTTGCTGGAAGAACTGAGGCATTTGCACAATTTATGCAAAACTTTAGGTAGGTGCATGAGATTATATAGAGAGCTATATTGCTGATTTTCAGTATCTTGTTTCATTTTCAAAATGAATTTTTGTTCTGGTGTATTTACGACAGAACTAATGATTCCAACATTGTGTGCGACTGCCTTGGGATGTTTGTAATTGATCCTATGGTACAGAGAAAATACTCCTTCTAAAAGGATTTAAGAGATTCTCAAACTGCACCAAAACTCCTTTTAGACCGAATGCCAGGGCCACTGTGAGCCTGGACATGGATGATCTTGAACATCATTTCCGTATTTACAGCAGTGTTAATAAAATAAGGTGCTGGAATGAGACACACAGTATTGGAAGCTTCTGATTCAAATGGGACAGGTGGGGAAAGCAGAGGGAAACCACCCTTTCTTGTTTTCTTTGGAAGCTAGTTGAATCTGACCAGAAGACTTAAATCTGCTAATACTTTTAAGTGCAATAGTTTTTAAGTACCTGAAGCTTCTGTTGTGTTGCAAGTAATTATTAATATCAGCTTATTTTTATGCTTGTAGGGATGTGTGTATTCATCAGGATAAGCGCATTCACCTCACGGTGGTGTATTTTGGACAAGATGGCCTGTCAGAAGTAAAAAGCATCCTAGAATCCGTAGCTAGGTAAGTGTGTCGATCCAGTGTCAGTCAATAGAAACTATATTGATTTAAAATTTAAAATGATTTTTTAAAAGGAAGAAATAATAAAAATAATTATTTTATGGTCCATTATAGGTTAATAGGAAAAGTGAGCTTTATTTACAGCACACTGTTTTTCAGCTGATGTTTACAGCTTAAGTTGTAAAAGTCTCCTAAAGACTACCAAAACTCAAGTTATAGGCCAAAAAACATATAACAGCAGTGGCTTTGAGGTTTCTATCTGACAGTCGGAAAAACAACAGGGGCAAGTTTTGCAGTGAATATTCAGTCATGCTAACAGATTGATCAGAATTAAAGTTCTTTGGAACAGGGACATACATTTTGATAGTTCTTTCACTGCAGAATCAATTTTATTTAGTGCTAAGGAAGAGAAACGTAGCCACAGTAGGCTGGTGGGCTGCTGAGTGCGAGAAGTTAAGCTTTGCCCTCTATCCTCTAGGTACTAGGTATTTGAGTCCATACTTACCCTCTGCTGCAAGACAACTTTAAACACCGTTTCATTGTGGCTGGCTCAGCAAATAGCATTACAGTGGTATGGGTTTAAAATTCCCAGATGTTGCTTTATTTTTGCTCCAGAGATATGGGACAGGTAACCGTGTCCATAAGCCTGTAGCTGAGGGGCTCCTTCTCTGCCTGAGCCCTTGTGCTTGTCCCTGAGCTGGGAGCCTAGTGCCCTCCTTCACCAAGAACAAGCTGGGCTCCCAAGCGTCCCCGTCGCACAATGTGGGCCAGGGCTCTTCTCGACAAAGTGCATTAGGTGCATGCTGTTGTTTTGCTGGCTTGAAATGTGGTGGCGAGTTGGCCTGGCATGCACAGACATCGTCTAGGAAGAGAAGAACACTTCTATCTTCCTCCCACAGAGCCTCCCTGGCATCCGGCTTGCCGAGTGCTGGCCACCTCTGTTCTGAGGCCTCTCCACTGCCTGCCGTGCTGCCTGTGGGACGTCCTCCTCTTCTCACAGCATTGAGCCAAATTGAGTGCCACGAACTCGCAGGGCGTTTATCTGGTTCTTCATCTTCTCAGTGGTGCTGCTGTTGAGTGTCTTCACTCAGTTCTCTGCAAGCATTGACCTCTGATGTGTCTCCAGAGCAGACACTGAGCTTTGCCTGAAGATATTCCCTGGGTGTATTTCCAATCTCCCCTTGCTGCTCCTTTGCTCTTCTGCGATCAGTAGAGGCGTGTGTGCTACTGGTGTGAAGCAGTGAGGAGAAGCAAACTGCCTGGATTATGGTGGCATCACCAGAGAGATGGCCTTTTGCCTCAGGAGTTTGGCCGTGCCAGGGCTCTGGCTTTCTCTTTGCCCTCCTCTGGGAGATATTGCTCTGTTAGTCAGGGCTGCTGAGTTTGTGGGGACAGATTTTAGACGGCGTAATTTTAGAGAACGCTATAATTCATGTCGGTTGCCAAAATGCCTTTTAAATCTGTCCAAATGATTAAATGCAAAGTGAAGTTATGAAGCAAGACAGGTCCATCTCTTTACCATGCCTAAACTCTGACACTTAAAATAGACAACTAAGTGGAACAGGTATTTTTTTTCTCAGCCTGACGATATACTGTTTTTTTAAAAATTTCCGGAGTGAAATTACTGTAAAATGCTGAGAAAGTATAAATTGGTGCCTTTTGCTCCCCGAACGGATTTATTTTGGGTTTGGCTCTGTTTTTCTTCTAGAGAAACTAACTTCCACAATTACACGCTCGTCTCTCTGAATGAGGAATTTAACCGAGGCCGGGGACTCGACATGGGTGCCAGAGCCTGGGAAAAGGGCGAGGTCCTGATGTTCTTCTGTGATGTTGATGTTTATTTCACAGCCGAGTTCCTCAACAGTTGTCGCTTAAATGCTGAGCCTGGTATGTTCCTTTACAGTTGCCGTACGAGCCTGGTATGTTCCTTTACAGTTGCCGTACCCGAATCCTGTCATCTTGTTTGGTTCAAACTGGCCTGCGTTGAGCATATAGAAAACTAATTTGAATGGTGGAGCTCATTCAGTACCATGCACCTAGGAAAATGAAAAATACTCGGTGCACAAAAGGCAATAGTATTTAGACTGAGAAACAACTTTTGCCTTAGTGTAGTATAAGAACATGGTGTCTTTTTCGTACAGTATGTACAATTTTCACATTTTCTTAAGATTTGGCTGTCTAAAAGCTGGACAGGTTAACTGCTTTAACAACTAGAGTGCATGTAAATTTGTATAGCAAAGCTGCTCAGTGCAGCATTTATGGTGGAAGGTGATTTTTGTTACACTGAAATCTGACGGGTTTGGTTGATGTTTTCTCACACTGGTGTGGCCAAGACATGCCACATACAAATGGTTTTCACTAGAGCTACACAGTGTGTTCCTTACAGAGCCTGAGCTAACGTTCTGCGTTTACATCTGAAGCTCTGGAATTTTCTGACCGTTTTTCTCGAATTTCTATGAAGCTTGCTTATTCTACAAGCTTCTGCCAAGAAGGATAAAGCTTTCTTGCGTTAACAAGTGTGCTAGTTAAGACCTTCTATTGTCAAACATTGTTTGGGTTTTTTTATTAATGCTTACTCTTATTCCAGATTTGTTGCAGCCAGAAATCATTTTCTCCAAATGTCAATTTGAAATGAATAGATACTTTTTCTTCACATAATAAACAGTCAAGGTCTGCTATAAGCCAGCTATTTGGATTTTGTGTCTTGTTTTTTCATTCATTTCTATCTGTCTCTGCGCTTCGTGAAATGAGTTGTATCAATAATTGGAAAAACTTTGGAGAGGAGCATTTTGTGAATTTTCACGAGGGAGTTCCAGAGACTGCTTGATAACTCGTACTGACAGGTTGTCACCTTTGCTTCAAGTGAGATCTGAAAACGCTTCTCACATGTGCAGTGCAGTTCACGCCCAAATGAGGGTACTGAGTATTCTTGCGGGCTGTCATTGATACCTTTGCACCACTGGCAATGCAAGAGATCCTTGAAAAATATTTATCTGGCTTCTGTAATAGGGATAGAGCTGGTGTCACAGCATAATCAGAATACTCATGATGCCCCTGCAGGACTTCCTAGATGTACATACTTTTAAATGCTCGCAAAAAGAGGCACGCTCATAAAACTCAAGCTATGCAAGGTGTTACTTAGACCTGGTTATTTTTTAGCTTTACTGCATACCATTATTAAAGGGATTTTTCAGTCATCTAATGTGACATTGTGATACATTATATATTTTATATGTATATAAGTATTTATAACTATATATAAATGTATACCTACAGAGTACATATAAATATGTGTGTGTATGTTTCTTATTCCTGTGGGCTCTGCCTCGCTAGATGCTATGGGCTACCTAAATGGGAAATCCTACTAGTTAAATCTTATATTTCTTTGTTTTCACTGGATGACTAATAGCTAATATTTCTCATAAAGATAGTATTTCTAGTTTCCCCTGGCCTTCAGAAGGGATGCCCACAGTGAGTAACAAGTACCTTTTGACTTCCAGGGAAAAAGGTTTTTTATCCTGTGGTGTTCAGCCTTTATAATCCTGCTATTGTCTATGCCAACCAAGACATACCACCTCCTGTGGAACAACAATTGGTAAGCAGTGTGATTTACTCTGGATAGGATTAGTTGTGCTTTGTATTAAAACAAAATTAAGTATAGCTTAATAGTCTGTTTGGGATGTCTTATGACCTTTGGCAGTGCGTATCTAAACACTCTTCCCCTTTATGGGCAAAGCACTCGGATGAAAAGCTTATCACACAGTACAAAACTCATTCTTAGACAAACTTGGAGATCTACCTAGATTTAAAAAAAAGTGCTATTAATCAAATGAAGTTGGTAGTTCTGTTCTATTGCTTAATTCTGGCTTGGAAAGCCAGCGTTTTAGGAAGATAGTGGCATAACATGGCAGCACCTTTCAGCTTATGTTCCAGCAGACAAAGAAGCAGTGAAAGGAAAAAAACCCTAAAAACGGTGCTTGATAAGCTTCCCTCGGTGTCGACTCTCTTTGCAAACTGGTAGTTGCAGGCAGCGTGCCGCGTAGCTCAAGGTGGGCAAAGACGTTGGGCCAGTCTCTGTCTCCGTGCTGTGGACAGCTGTACTCTGTGCGGGTTGTTACCTTCCCTGTGCCATCCAGCATCTGCCAGAACCACAGGCTGTTACTCCGCTAATCTCATCTTGCCTTTGGAAGGAGAAACACTGCTTATGGGGAAGATTGTAGTCAAAATAATAAACAAATAAACCCCACAAACATTCGAGAGAATAGGTTTAAGGATAATTTGGGGCTCAGGAGGAAGAAAGAAGTACCGTATTTCTGGTTCTTTGTTGCCTGAAGGTGGAATGGCCACGGTCAATGTCTAGCCTGACTCTTTCAAGAGACTGCATAAATGAAATTGGGTTTTGCAGCTGGGACTTTGGAGGTAGACAGGTTTGGAGGAGAGAGAGCAGAGTGCAACATAGCCTTACTAAAAGAAAAGAACATGGCAACCCTTACCTGCTGTGTTCTTGGCAAGGATCCTGCGGGAAGTGGGAGGGAGCCTTGTTCATCTGGCCTCAGGTGGTCGCAGCCGAGAGGAGTGGTCTCCTGCCTGACAACTCTGCTGGTTACTTTTTTGAGTCCAACAACCTTATGATTGCTGACTTCAGTCACAAAATGTACTTTTCTTGTCGTATCAGAACAAGAATAGACAAATGTGGCCTTAGAAACCGCGTAGGAATTGGAGTATTGGGAACAGATCATTTGGCAATAGACTACCAAAAATTTACTGCTCGGTCTAAGCAGATATGTAGAAAATAGAGGTGGTGTTGTAGAAAGGTAAGCGTGGAAACTGCAATACCTGTAAGTATTTGGAATTGGATGGCAAAGGGTGAAGCGAACAGCAGGTAATTGGGAAGCCCACGTCTGTGCATGACACGCAACTACTAGAAGTGCTAATGCTGTATCCTGCGCTGAGCAAATGGTCGGAAGAGTTGGATGTATTACGCATTTCAGAATGATATAGTTTTAAAATTGCAGGTACACAAGAAGGATTCTGGTTTCTGGCGGGATTTTGGCTTTGGGATGACTTGTCAATATCGGACAGACTTTCTGACTGTTGGTAAGATGCAAGTGTAAAAAAGAAAATTTTTGTGTATTTAGAAATTGATTCTGTGTTCTTATCTAGTGACAGGAAAGCAGTGAATTTATTTCTCTAATTATTTTCCGAAGTCCAGCAGTCAGACTTGTTGGACAAGTTTGACCAACGAGATAAATTAGTTTTTCTAGATTTTGATGTCCCATCTGGTGAGTGTTCGTTAGAAGTCACAATAATTTCTAGTAACAACATGTCACTCTAGAACTTCTAAAAATCTTTCATTGTTTTGTGACTGTCTGAAGCAAATTAATCAAGATTAAGAAGCACGTCCATAGACAAGAAGCATTTAAATTCTTGTTTTCAAATAACCTTGAGCAGTTGAATGCAGTTGTTCGAGGCTGCAGAAAGAGGCTTTCACACCCTCTTGTGGCATGCTGTTAAAACTGAGAGCAGCTTGGTGTTCTTGAGTTTGGAAGCCTGTCTCGAAGGTAGTCTCCTGGAAGGTGTAATGACATATAGCCCCATATAATCCCATGTGCTGTGTGACAGCTGACTGAATGCAGGCTGGTTTCTAATAGCAGTCGTATCGCCATGTGTATGGAATATGCTAAATGAAAACTTCATAACTGTGGAGTTTTGAAATCGTACGTGAGTCTGGGTCAATTTTCACTATGGTCCTGGAAAGGCAAGAGAACTTCAAATGGTGGAACGGGTTCCTTGCCTCAATCCAGCTTTTTGAGTTGTGACCTAGGGACTAATTGCTGGCATTTTTATAGAGGGCTTTTCATGCAGTGCATGACTGCTTCGTTTTCCAGCTGCTAAAATCCATTACGATTGCTAAAAATAACCCAAAAGCATAGCCGGTGAGGTTTGCCTGCAGTTTTCTGCAGCTGTCACATTGGATGTCATGCATAATGCCATTTGGAGACACTTTTGTCAGAGACTTCCTGAAGCCACGATCTGTGTCCTGGGCAGTTTCCACTGAAGAGGATGTGGTATGCTTGAAGCTCCTCTTCATCAATTTGCCATGCTTTGGCGTGGAGAACTTGAAGTTAATTGCTCTGGAATGTCTGGTATGTCATACCAGATCTGGTAATGCGTTACACAAGGAGTGTTGCTCTTTTTGCCTTACATCTTATCTAGCCAGTGTGCCAAAATAACGTTTTCTGGTACTGTTTTTGTAGGGGGTTTTGACTTGGAAGTGAAAGGCTGGGGCGGTGAGGATGTTCACCTCTACAGAAAGTACTTGCACGGTGACCTTATTGTGGTCAGGACGCCAGTCCCTGGGCTCTTCCACCTGTGGCACGAGAAGCATTGTGCAGACGAACTCACTCCAGAGCAGTACCGTATGTGTATCCAGTCCAAAGCCATGAACGAGGCCTCTCACTCGCACCTTGGGATGCTGGTCTTCAGGGAGGAGATCGAGACTCACCTCCGTAAGCAGGCTTACAGGACTAACAGCGAAGCGGCGGGTTAGATGTCACCCCCCCGTGATGTTCGATGACTTCAAATTCACAACCAGCATCATTTTACAGCCTTAATTCAGCTTAAAAATGCAGTGCCTCTCTTTTTCAGTGAAGAAGAGTTTAGGGGGTTTTTGGTTCTTGTATTTGTTTTCTGAGTAATTCTTTGACTGGTTTGCTATTACCTATGTATCTTGCAAGTTCAGGCACCTCAAATAAATTGGGAAGCGTGTGTAGTTCAAGGAAAGTGTCTTCAGCATCAACTGGAAAAATCAGTGGAGTGTGCAACTCGACACGTTTCCACATGGTACATGCCAATTCGTATATTTGCATTATTTTAAGAATTAAATTAATCTTTTGTGTTGTCTTGAGTATTTTCAGTCTGTGGCTCACTGCACTGTGACTTTAGGAGGATGCTATACTTACACTCCACTGTAGAAACAAGAGGAAGGTGTGGAAAAGAATCTCGCAGTGAAAGGTACGCGGGATGTGCTGGCTGGTGCACCAGCTCTGCAGGTGGCTGTCACAGCAAGGCTTCGGGGCTGCGGTTCCTGTGTTTAACAGACATTCACATGGTTGGGTATAGAATAATTCACGGGGGGGGCGGGGATGAAAATCCATTTAAGTGGAATTTTAGAGCATATAATGTCATTACACACTGCAAAACAGACACCACCACCTTCTCATCTCAGTGGATCAGACAAGTTGGGAGCATTCCAGTTGGGCGTTCCTGGGTCTGGTCTTTTCTCGGAGTAGATGCTGCATCACAGCATCCCTTCTATAAACTGAGCTGCGCTGTTGAACTCATTTGTTTAGACATTTTTGGCCTCACTCCTCCTTATTCCAAGGCCCTGCCTGTACATCTCGTTCTTTAAGTTGAGGAACCATCTTTTCATTCCTGTATGAATTGACTAACAGCCCATTTGCTATTATGCCAGTGTTGTCCTTTTGTTTTCTTCTTCTGGCATTTTCGTGATGTGCTCGGAAGGCAGTCATACACTCTTGGCTTTTTCAGTGACTGAAAAAGCAAGTGGTGTTACAGTCTTTCTTCATACAACGCTTTCCATTCCACTGATTGTCCTAGTAGCCTTGTTCTTCACTTTTTCAGTTTGAGGGGGTTGTAGGGTTTTTGGATTTTCTTGTTTCCAGTTTTTTTTGTTTGTTTGAGCATGCATGAGCAGAATTATGCTGTGGTCTCATTAGTGCCTTATACTATGGCAGTACTACTTTGCTACTTCCCTTTCGGCTATTTTGGGATGCATAAAGTTTCAATGCAGGCAGGTCATTTTTCTCCATGTTGTCTTATGTGCTACCATATGGCAAGCCTCATTTTTAATACGTTTGTTTATAGAATGAATGCTGAGAATGCTAATTCAGTGGTTGAACCATTTGCATGGTCTCCACTGAATTTAGAAATTAGTCGAAAACCCATCTCAAACCAGGTAATTAAGATCTGTTTATGAATTCAGTTTGCTTCAAAAATTCTGAGGGAAACAAGATTTAAAAGATTGATTTCTGAATAGCAGATATGCTGTGCAAATAGTTCTGGGCACTGATCCTTTTTATATGTACATAAAATTTGCCTTTATGTAACTTATTGTGGAGAACAGTGTACTGTATTGTACTTAGAGTGAAGAGAATGCATTGCAAGGCTTCTTGCAGTTGATATTCTCAATATAATAAATGGAATTTCTGCATTTTAGAAATTGTTTTAAGCTGTTTCTTTGAAATAAGTTTTTACATTAATATTTGGCAAGGCAGATGACACGCTGGATTTAAGGAATAGTATTTGCAGCGAGAAGTTCAGCCAGCTGATTTTTGCATCTCAAGTGAATATCTAATCAGACCCAATACAAAAGTGCAGACTTAGTTCCCCAGACAACTTAAACTTACACCAGATGTTATCTTACTTAAGATATCTTGGTGGTTCCCAACAAAAACAATAAGGTACCAGTGAGGAAAAGATTAAATACCTAGGCATTATGATTTGGGGTAAAGATAGAAGCGGGACCTTCTGCTGAGACTCCAGCCCTTAAAACTCCAGCTGCTACTGCTGTCCTGGCTCTGCTGCCCGAGAATGAGCATCCAAGCTGCCCCTGGCTGGCACCACTGCTGCTTGGCCCACACTGGGGTGGTCCTGAGCTGTTTGGCATTGCTCAGTGCTCAGCTGCTGCTCTGACAGGACCTGTTTGTCCTCGTTCCCGTGTTTCAGAAGCACGGCAGCCTGTTGGTGCTGATAGCCAGATCTCACCTTCTGCTTCTCATGGGGCGGTTGTGCGCATCGGCAGTGGTGAGGAAGAGAAGTGTCCAGTGTCTGCTCTGTGCGGCGGGAAACGCCCTGCGGTGTCAGTGGTGGAAGGCAATCAAGGAGGGCTGGAGCTGGAGGCAGCACCAGGAACCGCTTCTGAAAAACCTTTTTTTCTGTTCATCATCCCAAAGTGTGGAAGTGAATGCATTGGACTTAAAAGGAAGGCAAAACTCTCAGAAAATGTTAGTGTCAGGGTTGGGTATTGACACAAGTCCAAATGATTGAGTAGTTGAGAACTCCTGAACTTTCTGGGGACCTTGCAGGCCTGGTTTTTTCTCTAAGAATTATTAAAATCCCCATTCGTCACACAGTCTTCACAAACTTCAGACACATCAACAAAACAAAAAAATTCCTCATACCAAAATCAAAAGAACATCATCATACCACCACCCAGAAGTGGACAATTTACACACAATCCACCCTTTGTCCCTACAACAACAGGAAAAACATCATTCTCCACAATTATTCCCTGCTTTTCACATTGCTCAGTCCGTGTTTTGCCCATTACCCCTCCATTACTATCTTTATCTCAAATTCTTTGTGCCCCACGTTGGGTCCCAAAAACTGGTTTGTTTAGCCCAGATAAATGCCAAGTGCCCACCAAAACTGGTCTGAGTTCAGCTCCCTGCAGTAGCTGTCTGGGTAAGCACATGCTGCTGTTGCCTGCCTCAGCCAGGCAGCTCATTAGGAGCATGGGCAGCTCATTAGGAGCACGGGCAGCCCTTCGTTACAAATGCCAGAGACACTGGCACGGGCTGTGGGCTCTGTTCGGTCAATGCGAGGTAGGAACAAGAATGGTTTTGAGCGTGGTATCTCCTTGGAGGCCTTGTGGTGCTGGGTTCGGGATAGACACCTCACCGGGAAGGGGGTTTTACTGCTGACGGTCGATCCAGCAGGAAAATACTCGCCTCTGACAGCGCTTTAAAGGTCGTGGGGTAGCTTATTAGCAGCTTTGGTGTCGGAAATTCAGTCGGTGACTTAAAAGCTGTTATTCATGATTTAAAATTTGCACTCCCAGGGAGTTATTACTAATCATGTACAGTTCACGGTCCCTAATGACTTCTAATTTTACCTACTCATTTGTCTCTAAATTATAATCTCTAAATTAAATAATAATTAGATTAAAATTTATAAATAGCTACCTTAACCTTACATCTTTTAATTAAATCTTTAAAAAGTGGGGGGGTGGGGTGTGTTATAATTCTGAGTATTTTAACTTTTGCTTTTGGGCTAGGCTGCAGGCTTTGACTCTTTAGTTAAAAGACATTGTATAAAATTCTTACTTTGGATAATGATTGTCCCTCATTGCGCTAGTAGGTATTTTTTCAAAATAGGATGCAATGTATTCCTGTAAGCAAGGCCCTCACTGAACGGAGTTAAATGCTGCCTGTTGCTTGGATGAATTATTTGGTCTGTTCTAACAGGGATTCCCCAGAAGAGGACAGGGTGCGTTATATCTCCCTAGTAATCCCCAAATAGAGAGAGAAAAGGTTGAGACCTATGAATTGCAGAGAGAATGATTCTGTTCAGTGTGCGGCTCAAAGTTGTTCAGATTTATACAAATCCATCTAAAAATCGCCGCATAGCGACTGCCTTCCTGGTCCTGTTCTGCTTTTCATCATTCTTTGGGACTTTTTCTGGCATGAAGTCCTCTGGAAGTGCTTCCCTTTCCCTTGCTCCTCAGCCATAGCATTGGGAAAGGCATGGCTAGAGCCTGTTTCAGGACTCGAATTTTGCAGCTGTTTCCAGTTACTGCTGCGTTACTCCAAGCTATCTGGTCAAGCATCTTCTCTTCTGTGTGGCTGCGGATGACAGTGGCACTTCAGTTACGCTCCTGAGCAGTTAACGCGAAGCTCAGTCACTGACCAGGAGTCATCAGAAAAATGTATGACTCCGGAGAGCGGCTTGTTTTCCCCAAGTCCTTAAAATACTTAAAACCAATTACATATGCTGTATAAATATACTATACCCTGAAAACTTGTGTTGACTCTTTTCTTAGCCTCTTCAAATCTCACATCATGTTTCTTATGCTACGTTTCATCTCGATGTGCTACTTTCCTTATTAACCCAGTCTGTTTTTCCTTCCATGTGGCTCCTCTATTACTTCTTCTGACTTAAAGCCTTTGGACTTTTACCCACTCCACGCCTGGCTCGTGGGCGAGGCCCCTTGGGGGTCCCGGCTGAGGGAGCTGCGGCGGGGCTGTGCAGTGATGTGCGGCGAGGGAAAGCCCAGCGAGACGGGAGCTGCCACCCACCCGCTCCGAGGATGGGCTTTAAACCACAACGGACTGCGTTTACGAGCTCTCTGCTAAGGATTAGGCTTTTTTCTTATTTCTGCGTTGTTCATAATTTTTCATGCTGAAATGCAGTCAACCGTTACGGCAATGTGAAGTTCATGGCAAAAAGCGGTAAATTAAGACCCTTACCCATACCCCGGGCTTGACTGCACACCGCTGCTTCTGCTCTGGAACAGAACAAGAGCAGAAATAGCAGGCTATGCCTTTATTATAAAGTGAGTTCACAAGTGATTTCGGTTACCTGAGCATATGGACCTGCTGACTGCGTTTGGCGTAGCCACGCTGTGGTACGAGCACGTGTGTTTGCATACAGCTGCACACAGGGTAGGCTTGCTCTTTCCCAGCAAAACGTGGAGCTCTTCCTTGAAGGTGTTTCCTAACCTCATCCAAGAAAGGGAGGAAATTAGTCATGTTTCAGATATGAAAATCTCTTGCTTGAATAACAATGTCTATTCTGTGTGTTGCTTTAGGCAAAGATCTGGCTAAAT